CCTCAAGAAACATCCTTCGACGGTGTGCGCAGCCGGAAAGTGACATCCACCCTTATATCCGTAATAGCACACGAGACCAAATTGGTCATAGTCAAATCTTTCCTACACCTCCTAACATCTCTCTTATCTCCACGACTCATCTTTCCTACATTCCTTTATCACCCTGTGCCGCTGATTAATGAATAAAGCCGCTAAAATGAAAGATGGCAAACTTATTAATGATAGTATGCTTGTAGTTTTTTTTGAAAAAGAGATTACAGCTACAGTATGTCTAGTCTTTATTTTAAATTGTTAGAATTTTTCCACGAATTGTGATTTCATCCTGGTATGTGTCTCATCAGTGGTGCGCATCTGCAAGCCTCGCTTGCAGGAATCAAACCCGGGCATTACTGTCTCGCGCGCGAACGCTTAACCTCTAGACCGCTGGGACGGCATCCAACTGTGTTAATATCTAGCTTTAACCAATCCGGGGTATTGAGCAGTCTCACCAATTATCTTCGGTAGGTAACTGCTTACACCCGAAACTCTTGCGCTCCACTGATCATGAATTCTCACTTGAACTCAGAGAATTTCTTCACGAAGCTCTAGTCCTTAGTGAGCACATAACTTAATAATAAAAAAAAAAATAATTTATTAATTGAAATTTCCGAACTATCAGTAAAATTGTTTGTATTGTATTATATAAAAGGATTATCATTAAACTCATTGTAAGAGTATTTTCACGACAAATACAACTCAAGCTCAGGCTTTACTTGGGGGGAGTCTTGATGATTGTAACACAAGAATGAAACTATCTTGCTTTCTCTCTGTTCCACTAGTTTTCGCTATTGTTCTTTCCTTTCCATGCAATCGATAGATTTAATGTTGATTTCAGTGGATAATAATAGCATTTTAGTATGTTTGTTATGTAACCAACTGTGGGATGCACACTCCGTCTTATTTAACGACAATGTTCCAGGTGTACACCTATACTGCGGTATTAATATTTTTTCTTTATAAAAAACCTCCAACCCAATGCTATTATTTCACACGACTCAACATATTATCCACTAAGCTACTGAGTTGAGTTAGTTTGTAATTTGTTCAACGGATCTGAAGTTATGAGTAATGGTCTGTAATTTCTTATTGGTAGTATTCCGAAATGCTATATATCAATCAACGGTATGTGTGCGTCTCGATCGATCCGCACCATAGCCTGACTGAATATTTCAACTACCTGCTTCCTAACATTAAAATATTTCAACAAATTAATTATATTTGTTCGTTTTAAACACGTCGATGATGTTTATTAATCGAATGATCTATTCAAGCGTGTATATAAAAAAAGGTTTATGAGTTATCGCTTCACAAGATTCGACAGAGTACAGGCCGAAACATCGCGGTAGCTAGAGAAATCTCCTAAGAAAAAACATGAACGTTGATAAGATGTCGATTTCTGGACCGCTTACTTCCAACTTATCATCATCAATTCGGTCTCGTGTGCTTTTATGGGTATGAGGGCGGATGTTGCTTTCCGGCTGCCCACACCGTGGAAAGTTGTTTCTTGAGGGACCTGAAAAGGCAGATCGATTAGAGTTGGTATTAGAGACCTGGGTGCGTGACCGCAGAGCCCATGGGACAACTGCTTGAGGCCGGTCACTCACGGCCTATTTATTAAAAGTTTTTTCAGTATTAGCTCCGTTCTTGAAAGCCCTTAATCGGAAGCCCTTACCGCTGGAGACGGAAATCCGTGAGGTTAGGGTGAGGTATGACATTTTTAGGGTCGACCTTTTCTAACCCTTCCCCCCTTCCTTGTGAGAAGGTAGCATCGCTGCAGATGCTGGTTGTCCGAGGGAAACACCTTACTGCTGTCACACCCCTTGACAGTCAGTCAGCAGTACGACTTCGCCTTCAGACCTTGAGTAACTACCTTTATTCTCATTGTTCTCCAATCGACCTGCCTGGAATGGTACATTCTTCAGGAACATATGTTGTAGCCAATATAGCTCGGTTGGGTCAAGTCCGACCACCACGTCAAGGTAACAGCTACGGTCGGGACTTGCAACTACTAGATCACTAATTATTTTTTGTTAAGGAAACTTATTGAAATATTCTGTACTAAGAATTTCATATTGTACTAAACATTGAATATTGAGTAAAGACATTATAACTATTAAGCAGAATTCATTAATATGGCTTCTCATTTACAAGTTATATATATATATATATATATATATATATATATATATATATCATATCATATATAATTGTAATGTGTATTTTTAGACTTGAACCTCCTATTCACATATATGACACTGCAAATAATATTAAATTAAACAACAATAATGATTATAAATCTGATCCATTAAATCATAATCATGAACAAACCACATTGTTATTCAATCCAATATATCCTCCTGCTACTTGTACGCCTCAGACTAATAATATCTGTCAAACAACCACAGAAAGTAGTAGTACAATTGTAAATCAATGCGACGATACTAGTTTAACACAATTAAAAACAACAGCAACAACAACAACAAAATATGCTGATTTATCATTTTTACCAAATTCATCTTTACATAATGCCTTCTTATCATGTAACAACAACCCTTTATTATTGACAAATACAAATATAAATACAAATACTACTGATCCTAATCATTCTAACATTGTTCAAGCGACAACATCCACAACCGCAACAACCACAACATTATCAAATAAAACAATCAAAGAGTCGTCAATAGGTAAAAAACCCCAGCACCAACACCAACCACAACCACAACAGTCACAACAACAGTCTGTCTCCTCAGTTAATCAACATCATTGTACTAGTTTATCTAAAGGTACTGTCAATTGTCTGTATGATATTGAAATCAGTTCATGTTCCACAGCTTATGAATCAGTGATAGAGGTAAGATAAATGATGATGATGGATTGGTGTTGTTGTTACTTTGTTTTTGAATTCAATTGTATTTCTCCGACCGTAGCTGCTTTTGCCAACCTGCGTCACTTATGGCGAAGGCGAGATATCCGTTTGCTAACCAAAGGACGAGTGTACTGCTCAGTAGTTCGCTCCGTCTTACTTTATGGCTGTGAAATATGGCCAGTGAGAGTAGAAGATATGCATATGTTACTGTCTTCGAAGCATTGCTCGTATATCGTGGGACAGCCGAGTGAGCAACGCTGTTATTAGGAATCGGGTGCTAGGTAAGAATGGCAGATCAATAGACGCAGTAGTGACACTTCATCATTTGAGGTGGTTGGACATGTGTTGCGAATGCCTAACCACTGACTGCCTCGACAAGCTTTGTTTTGTGGTGTAGGAATAGGATGGAAGAAAGTTAGGGGCGGCCAAACCAAAACATGGCAGAAATCCATGAAGTCATTGACGAGTGGACTTAGCCATGTCGGTAATTGTCGACTACCTGGTTGGGGTCCGCGAGATGATAATAATCGATGGTTAGAGACCTTGAATGACATGGCTCAAAATCGTTCGCAATGGCACCGGTGCATTTATTCTTTGTGTTCTCTCAAATCCTAATCTTCTGGATTCTTCAACACCTCTAGTTTTGACTTTCTAAACTTATCTCACTGAATCATACTTCTTGAATAATATCTTCTAATCCTAACTTCTCCGATTACTTCTAATACCTTTACTACCTCTACTACTATTATGGGATTTGAATTGACAATTACATCTCTGTGCTAATGTTGTGGTATGGCAACATGAACTGATGTACGTACGTATGCACAATGTTCTACGTTGCATCTGACTGACTGATTTCAGACTTGATATTTAATCAATATTCACTAAAATTAATAATTTAATTGTTGCAAATCACCGGGATAGATTTGTGTATTCAGCTTTGTGTTATTTGACATTTAGTGATAGTATAGTAAGTACTGTTGACTGAAATAGAAATAGAAATAGTGTGTCTTGAATTCGCAATGTGTACTTATCGAATATTTTATCTTTTTAGACATGATTGATGTTCACTGTTTTCTTTGATATTAAACTTTTTTAAACTGTTTACTTTGAAGAATCATAATGGAAATTAGTTGGAATGTGAATAGTTATGCCTGTTTCCATCTATTGGTTGAAAGGAAGGGTTGATTATTCATTCATTCAACCAGTTATGGAGTTGTGCAGATTGTATGATTTCATTAAAATCGTGAATTGATCTGTGTTAGATAATTATGTAAAATATGGAATCACTGAATGGTCGTTTTATCTCATCTATGACCCCACAAACGAAAGTCAAACACGGGACATTCAATCTCGTGCGAACGTTTAACTTCCAAACCATTGCACTTGGATTCAGTGGTTTATCAGTTTACCTTCCATCAATCGACAGAATTACGCGACCATCTTTCCTTGTATCCTATGGTTATCTTTCAGACATCCGACACGGTTTAGCTCCTCCATTAATCAATCAGTCAGTAGCAACGCAGAACTTTGTACGTAAGTACGTACATCAGTTCATGTTGCCATACCACAACATTAGCATAGAGATGTAATTGTCAGTTCAAATCCAATAGAAGTAGAGATATTAACAGTAGTCGGAGAGGTCAGGATTAGAAGATATTAATCAAGAAGTAGAATCTATTGAAATAGACTTAAAAAGATGAGGATAAAGTGATGAAGAATTAAAAAGTTTAGGATTTGAGAGAACACAAAAAATGAATGCACCGATGCCATTGCAAACGATTTTGAGCCATGTCGTTCAAGGTCTCTAACCATCGATTATTATCATCTTGCGGACCCCAACCAGATAGTCGACACCTACCAACGTGACACAATCAACTTGTCAGTGACTTCATGGATTTCTGCCATGTTTTGGTCTGGCCGCCCCTAGCTTTCTTCCAACCTATTCCTACACCACAAAATATAGCTCTACGAGGCAGTCGGTGGTTAGGCATATGTAACACATGTCCCAACCACCTCAACTGATGAAGTTTCATTACTTCATCTACTGATCTGCCATCCTTACCTAGCACCCGTTTCCTAACGACAGCATTGTTTATACGGTTGTCCCACGATATATGAGCAATGCTGCTATGACACCTATGACCGAAAACCAATAACCTACGAATATCCTCCATTGATCACATTCAGTCTGTTCAAAACTACCAAGGTGATCAAAAGAATAATCAGATTTTATTAACAGTACTAAAATCCTTTCAGAAACGATAACTAATCGTGTATTTTTTTTGAATTCAATTCCCTACATGACTATCTTTTCCTCATTGATTGTTATTGCTTTTAGTTTGCTGAATTTCTTTTACGTTTGAAAACCATGTTTGTAATTCGAGATACAGCAAGCAATAGAAAAACCAATCGGTACAAGTCTTCTCATTGTGTTTAGGCATTAAGTGTTAATATGTTGTACATGAATTGCCGTTGTCGATTTCGAAAAGAACTTTTGGTATCAGGGTAGGCTTAATTGTTCGTTTTGAGAATATGTAAAAATATCATAGGCCTTTTTACTCTGAAAATCAATAACTGAATACAACAAAACTTCACACTGTTCAACTCCCAACTTAACTGTAATCACATTTTCCTACAGTCATCTAGAATTGGACACATAACACATGTATGTTTATTTCGTGTTTGGCTTGATTCGTAAGAAAATAGCATCATTTATCCATTTATTTAAAAAAAGGAAGCAATTTATGTGAATACTGAGAAATTTAATTTTCTACTAATTAAGATAATATTTAAACCATGAATCGATCAATGTTAGACCACCATTAGAAACCTGGAAGCACTGGACGGCCGTTTCGTCCTGGTATGGGACTCATCATTGGCAGTGCGCATCCAGGACTCCTGCACCCCGCAGGATTCGAACATTGATCGATTCATGGTTTCAATCTTCACAACCCCGTAATACAAATTACCTGTGCTCACTAGTGACTAGCTTCGTGAGGAATCTTCTCCGAGTTCTAGTGGGAAGACGTGACCAGTGAAGTTCAACCTGTTTGGGTGTAGACAGTAACTACCGAAGACTGTGTATGAGGTTGCGCAACTCCGTGAATTTGATCAAGTTAGACATTAACACCGTTAGATACCGGCTCAGTGGTCCGATGGTTAGGCGTTCGCCTACAATACCGAAGGTCTTGGGTTCGAATACTGCGGGGTGCAGGAGTCGTGGATGCGCACTGCCACTGATGAGTCCCATACCAGGACGAAACGGCCGTCTTTCAGTGCTTCCAGGTTTCTAATGGTGGTCTAACATTGATCGATACATGGTTTCAATAAAACTTAACAATCTTCACAACCCCGTAATACAAATTAAGATAATACACACATACATTATTTTATTATTAGAAACAATCCAACTATTGCTGTTTGATTTATTTGACATATTACACTACTCTTTCAAACTTTAATAATGTTTGTAAAGATAGGATTTTATTTCTCACGTGCTTCAACAGCCTCAGTTAAATGCTAATTTTTCAGCATAGCTGTATGACCTATAGCTTTCAATCATTATCAATTAAATCCAATAAATTTGAATGACAGGGACTGGATGTTAGAACTTCAGCAAGACCCTTTTTTAAAAAACAAAAATTAGAACAGTACATATCAGCAAATAATATTGTTTTTAAATGAATCTTCATCAAGTGGTTATGTGGTATTAATATTTATATGCATAGATAAGAACCCGACCTTAGCTGCTACCTTGACGTGGTGGTCGAGCTTGCCTATCGTGATGACACAACCAAAAACAGTTAGGCGACCATGAAAGTGATTCCCATCCGGAGGCAGGTTGGAATCATATCAAAAAGGCTGTGGAAACAGCAATGGTATCTGCTAGCAAGGTAAACCATAAGCCTAGAATGAAGCCATGGATCTCTGTAGCATCCACCGGACTGATGGATGCTCGAAAACGCATCCCACCTGACTCTGAACATGATGAAGAGCGCAGTCAGCTTAGGCGCAGACTTATAAAAAGCCTACGTAACGACCGTGAACAGTGGTGGGTGGCGAAAGCAAAAGCGATGGAAAAAGTAGCGGCGATAGGCAACAGTAGACAACTTTTCCGACTTATCAAGGAAACTGGTATTAGGAATCATAGTGCAAGTGAGACTATCTCGGAAAAGGATGGTCTTATTTTCCATTCTCAATCCAGGAGACTGGACCGATGGGCAGAACACTTTAGGGATCAGTTCAACTGGTCTTCAGCCACACTTCAGTTGCCCACGATCTCCAGTCATCCTGAATGGCAAATCGACCTAAGTCCCCCTAGTCTTGATGACGTTGAGAAAGCGTTAGGAAATCTGAATCGAGGACGAGCTGCAGGTCCTGATAGACTTACCCCTAAGATATTCAAGGATGGTGGTCCAGTTTTATCTGCTAGGTTGACTGGGATCTTAGGTAGAATCTGGGAATTGGACAGAATCCCATCCGACTGGTCTCAATCCCTGACTGTCCCAATCTACAAGTAAGGACAAAAGTCCTCTTGTGACAATCACAGGGGAATAAGTTTGACTAATATAGTTTCTAAATTGTTCGCCTCGATTATACTTAGACGTCTAACTAGAGCTCGTGAAGAGCAGACTAGAGAAAACCAGGCTGGTTTTCGACCTGGACGTGGTTGTATAGACCACATCTTCACACTACGACAGGTCCTGGAACACAGACGCACATATAAACGTCCTACAGTATTTGTCTTCCTGGACCTAAAAGCGGCATTTGACTCAGTGTATCGTAAGGTTCTGTGGCAGTGTCTGTCATTGAAAGGTGTACCGAAGAAGTACATTAACCTTATACAAGCTCTCTACTGGAACACCACTGGTCGACTGAGAGCCTATGGCGAACTGTCATCAGCTGAGATGGTTGAGACATGTGTTACGAATGCCTAACCACCGACTGCCTCGACGAGCTATGTTTTGTGGTGTAGGAGTAGGTTGAAAGAAAGTCAGGGGCGGCCGGACTGTAACATGGCAGAAATCCATGAAATCACTGACAAGTTGACTGTGTCACGTTTGTAGTTGTCGACTCTCTGGTTGTGGTCCGCGAGATGATAATAATCGATGGTTAGAGACCCTGAATTACATGGAGACCTCATGGAGAGTTAGCCCACTCGCCTTCTCCAATTCACTTCGTTTCACTTGTACGCTTCCCTTCTCATATTTGTCTGCATAAGTGAATGCATGGAATAAATTCATCCGCAACACCGTATTTGGCTTCTTACTACCGCCGTCGCACAAACAGTGTTAGCCTAAGTATTTTATATACGAAAGTGAATAGGAAGATTTATTTTATTGCACACTCGATCATTCATCTACATAGAAATCCAGTAGTGAGCTGCTAAAATGGCTCAAAACCGTTTGCAATAGCGTTGGTGCATTCATTATTTATGTTCTCTAAAAATCCTAAGCTTATTAATTCCTCATCACTTTATCTTTTTAAGTTTTTTTCAACAGTTTTAACTTCTTGAATAATATCTTCGAACCTTAATCTTTACGGTTACTGCTACTACTTTTACTACCTCTACTACTATGGGATTTGAATTGACAATTACATCTCTGTGTTAATATGGTATGGCAATTTGAACTGAACTGTATAGCACCTGCGAGATGGAATTTTATCATGAAAACGCAAAGGTATACAGTAAATTACTGGGAATTTTTTTAATTTTGTCTACCATAATATAACCATTTACAACCAAGTCTGGTAGAATAGAAGGTAGATATTGCCAATCGTTGATCATTAACAAATAATATTTACACTTCATTCAATCCAATAATAAATTGTCACTGGTCGTTTGATCCTTACATACAACACGATAACTCATCAATCAATCATTGTTTGACCACCATTAGAAACCTGAAAGCACTGAGAGACGGCCGTTTCGTCCTCGCAGGATTCGAACCCGGGACCTTCGGTATTGTGCACGAACGCTTGACCATTGGACCAGTGGACCGGCATCCAACAGTGTTAATGTCTAACTCTGATTAATCTAGGGATTTTGCGCGACCTCACCCATTTGTGTTTGGTAGTAGTTACTGCCTACACCTGACAGGGTTGAACTCCATTGGTCACGTCTTCTCGACTAGAACTCCGAGAATTTCCTCACGAAGCTAGTCACTAGCGAGCACTGTTACGATATTTTTGGGCAGAGTTTTGGAGGTTTGTGTTTTTACACATTTGAAATCACCAATCAATCATTGTTAGATGACCACCATTAGAAACCTGGAACCACTGAAACACGGCCGTTTCGTCCTAGTATGGGACTCATCATCAGGTTTCTAATGGTGGTCCAACAATGATTGATTGATGATTTCAAATGTGTAAAATCACAAACCTCCAAAAATCTGCCACAAAACATGATAACTATTTTGGTTTAGTTTTTTTGGATTAATACTCAATAATGACTGAGTTTCGCTCAATGTTGTTTACTTTGCAAACATCTCTTATTATTATTTTTTTTGTAGTATACACCAACCTGTGATGATATTACTTCTAAACAGAAAACAGTCAGGTTAGTGGTGGTTAATTAATATGTGCATAACTTTTATTGTCTTTTTTTGTGTGTAGTAAGTAGTTGGAGTGAGTAAACAGGCGACGATGTGATGAGCGAAATGCTGTTGCTGCTGATGATGATGATGCCAATGTATGTGTATTTGAAAAGATCGAGCGCTGATTGTGTTGACAGTAGGAGGGAAGAATTCGCTGAGCTTGTTGTATAGCAGTTGACAATTTCACACTGAGCTTATTATTATCTGCACAGACATTTGGAATGTGAGATTGAAAGCAGTGGAGTGGGTGGTTGTGAAATGTGCGAGTGACTTGAACTGATCGCCAACCAATGTAAGTTGTGGCAGTGGGTAGTTAGTTTAGAGGCGAAAAGCTCGGCACCGTACCGAGCCGGTGCAGTCTGGAAGTGCCGGGCATCGATCCCGGGCCCTTTCGCATGCTAAGTAGTTGTTATATTGATGATAGAAAAGAATGATATAATGCAGATTTATCAAAGTAATAAAACTCAAAATAATTCAATGTCCATAAAGTAAGTGGTTGTTATTCAATTCAGAGATTTGAATTGTTGAACTTAAAAACAAAAATTTCAAAGTTAGAATGTTTAAGTCAATCTCATTAGAAAGTTCTGTATTTATTATAGTTTTTATGGTTAGTTAGTGTTTGTCAGTATGATGTAACTTTAACCTCCTGTTAATTAATGACTCAAGTTGCAAGTAAATCATTTGAGCGGTAGATAATGTCTTTTTTTTTTAAAAGACTCATTTGTTTACACTGATTGATCAATTAAGAATTAACTGATGTAGTATTATGTTTAATCCGTTAGGTCGATCAAATTTTGTTGATCAAATGTCAATCTAGCCATTGGTCTAAATAACATTGAACATTGCGTCTACTAGTTTAAATATTAAGTGATTGGAATCTTCTTATTTGCAGGTGATTCTTTCTCGATTGTGTATTAGTTGTTATTTCTGTTACGCCTGCACGTAAACACGTCAACTTGATATTCTTGAACTATTACGAGTTTACCTAGTCGGAAAACGAGAGCGAGGATCCGGCGACACGACATGCTACTCAAATCCGATTATCTCAACCCCCATATTTAGTAAAAATAAGAAGACGTGATATGAAGTAGAACCTGTATTCTACAAGCATTCAGAAAGTATGAGGTCCGAATCCAGAAGAGAATCAGGATCCTGGACTAGGGATCCGGGACCGAGTCCTGGTCATAAAATAATGCGTATTTATACATTTTGGTCGAATAGGAAACAGCATCGAATTCTGTGACATTGACAATTAAGACGACCAATAGGAAGTAACATTTGAAATGACATTGACAGTCCGGATGACCAATAAGAGACAACATTGAAGTATTTGACTTTGACAGTTAAAACGGTCATAATTTCGACCAATAGGATTTGACCAATAATTCTCTTAGGATATTGGATGAATATCCTAACAATTTCGCATCAAAAAACATATCTGGAATCTCAAAGGGAACACACTGATATTCACCAACATTGCTATAAAAATTCATATCCAGGATTAATTAAAAAAATATTTTTAATTATCCTCATAGTATCATACATTTTTTGTTAAAACTAAAATTAATCTATCTATAATCTATATTGAACTGCTTATCCCGGAACTGGGACAACATTGAATCGTGCAAACGTTGAGTTATCTATCATATGAATTTCAGTTATTTGTATAAGTATTCTGTAAGAAAACTGAATAAAGCCTATCCCAATGGTCAGAATGCAGAAACAGACTTATTTTCCTTACTAGTTTTAAATTTAAACAATCATCTATAAAGATGGTGATATTCTAATGTTGACTTCAAAATTGCTATCAAATTTTACAATTATTATTCTCGATTAAATTGTACTTACAAACAAGTTTTGTGGGAAAAAACAAACTATTTCACATACTCGAACTCAAGTATACATGTATTGAATTTACATTACGGGGTTGTGAAGATTGTTAAGTTACACATTTTTTGAAACCATGAATCGATCAATGTTAGTAGACCACCATTAGAAACCTGGGGCACTGAAACACGGCCGTTTCGTCCTGGTATGGGACTCTTTAACACCATTAGAAACCGGCCCAGTGGTCCGATGGTTAGGCGTTCGCGCACAATACCCAAGGTCCTGGGTTCGAATCCTGTGAGGTGCGGAAGTCGTGAATGCGTACTACCAGTGAAAAGTCCCATACCAGGACGAAACGGCCGTCTTTCAGTGCTTCCAGGTTTCTTCTAATGATGGTCTAACATTGATCGATTCATGGTTTCAAAAATATGTTGAATTCACAGTTAATAACTCTCATGGGTCGTTAAAATTGGATTATCGAAATTGCTAATTTCAACATAGAAGTAGTAATATTTTGACCTTGTAAACTCATGAATTTAGGATTTACATTTTTAAACTGCATTGATAATTCTCACAGTGAGAATATTTTTTCAACTACTAATATGTTTAATCAGTAAGAAAATGAAATCAACGAAGATTTATTTGTATTGAATAAGATCACAAAATGTGTAATGTAGATGTGATCATTTTTAATATGAAGTGAATTTTTTTATTATGTCACATAGATTTTAATTTCCTATTTCTGCAGAATTAGTAAATTATCAAACGACCATTCACGACTTTCTTTTCATCAGTAAGATGAAATAAATATGTAGTAATAATTACTCCTTTGATTGTCTATCAAAGGTGGTGGGGGTAGGTACTACTACTAGACAAACTGTAATACATTTTATCACTGAAAATATATATATATATATATATATCGATCTTGTGTGTGCTATCTTTAACTCTGTAGGAAACTGTGTTTATTTTTTGGCTTAATCTGAACGCATAAAAATATATGAATGATTGATATCATTTCTGTCTTTTTTAATCTTAAGATTTATTATCGATCTCTTGTGATTTTGCACTCCATACCGCTAAACCGGTAAAGATAACTTGAATTGACCTATATCTTTGCTAGGCTCCTATGTTTTGTGCCTGTTAAGCTTAGATAGGGCAGGATTTGTTGATTTTGGTCTCACGTGCTGTTACGTGTATGAGGGCGGTTGTCACTTCCCGGCTGCCCACACCATGGGAGGTTGTTTCTTGAGGGACCTGAAACAGAAGGTAGATTAGTGTCGGTCTTAGAAACCTGGGAGTGTGACCGCAGTGCCCAACAGACAACTGCTTGAGGCCATTCACACACGGCCTTTTTAGGAAAGGTTTTTTGAGTATTGGCTTCGCTCTTTTTAAAGCCTTTACCGCCAGAAACGGAAATCCGTGAGGTAGGGTGAGGTGTGACATTTTTAGGGTCAACCTTTTCTAACCCTTCGTTCCTTATGAGAAGGCAGCATCGCTGCACATGCTGGTTATCCGAGGGAAACACCTTACTGCTCTCACACCCCTCTGCAGTAGTCAGCAGTACGACTTCGCCTTCAGACCTTGAGTAACTGCTTTTACTCTGATCGTTCTCCAATCGACCTGCGTGGCATGGTAGAACCTTCAGTAACATATGTTCCAGCCAATATAGCTCGGTTGGGTCATCACAATAGGCAAACCCGACCACCACGTCAAGATAGCTAGCTACTTTGGTCAGGCAGGATTTGTTGATTATTATGTTAATGTGAATGAGATAAAAACAAAGAACACAATCTCTCATCCAATCGTTACCTTGTTCACAATATTACTGTAATTTTTCAAATTTATTTTCTCATATTTTATTATTATTGAATTCTTCTTTCTTTTTTTTCTATTGATTTTATTAGAGAAGTTTATGAAGATGCTGAAGCATTGTATCGACATTTATCTGACTTAAAACAATCGAACAATTCTAATGTACAAGCAATCACAAATTCATCAACTGATTAGCGCATTCATAATTTAAATTATATAAATATATATATATATATATATATATATATATATATATATATATATATTACATCGGTTGTATGACAAATTATTTATTAGTTGTCCAATTGAGAAAACTTATATCTTTGTGCATTTATTATTATGATTATTTCAAGAACAACAACATCCATCTCCTATATATGTATTCATTCAAAACGAATTCATTTTACTCCCCCCTAATTATTATTGATTGATTGATTGATAGAGAAGTAACATGTTAGGGTTAGCAGTATAATTATTATTTGGTTTTATTATGTATGCTATCATCATCATCATCATCTATAAACACAACTGTGATAATGAACAAACACATCAATCAATAATAACTCAACTTCCTTCTTCTCATATCGTTCATTATATATAATACAAGAAACATACACACACACACACACACACACAAGAAGTGAGTTAGTTTTATTCAGTGTAAGAAAATTCAATCTCATCCAATCTAATGCTTATTATATATACATATATATGTGACAATAAAGAGTTTTTTAATGCATTTTTCCTTTGATCTATTCTGTCCCATCATGGGAGACAAAACAAAAGCAATCTTGTTACACAATAATCATAATCATAATAGATTCATTAAATTAACCCTAGGTAATCAATCGATCAATCAATCAATCAGTCAATCAATCATGTCTATGAATCTTGAGATAATTTTCATGTGTTTGATGTGTCACATGAATTTCGCTCGCCCCCCCCCCCCACACCCTCCACCGTTTTTTTCTTTCTCCTACTCTTTTATGCATGTTTATTTTTTCTGTATCATTCTTCCTATGGATCTCATTATTATTATTATGATTATTATGATTTTTGTCTATTACTAACTACTACTACTACACACACTGTTCACCAACTGCATCCATTTTTGAAAATATTTTGGCATTTATTTATTCATGATGAATTGTGAAAGAAATGAATAATATCCGTTTTCATATTTGTTTCTTTTTTAAAAAAAGAATAATTTTTTTTCATATTTCTATGTGTCCACTGCTGCCGCCTCCTATACACACACCACTAGCACAAATCACGTGATTGTCTGCAAATCACTGCAGAGATTTGTATTGATTATTGGAAAAAATTTCTTGCGGCCAAAAGTGCAACTTTTTTTTACTAATAAGTAATAATAATAATAATAATGTTAAAAAGGTTAAAAAAAAGAAACACAATCGAAATGACGTGTGTGTGTGTGTGTTAGTTAAATGACTGACTAACTGTAGAAAAGAAAAGAAATATAATAAAACGTGTTTTTTTTCTTTGCTTTGCATTTACAATTTATTTGCATTAAAACGAGAATGATTGTTGATTCATGATGGATCATGAAAGTGTGTAAAATATGGTACTGGAAAATACTGTGATTCTATTTTATTTCTAACATTATCATTGTTCTTATTATTTTTTGTGTATATTCCCATTGTGGTGATCATGTTAACACATACATAGAACTAAATAAAAACTACTGATGATAATATATATATATATATATATCATCATGACTTATAACATTGTGTATTTTTTTTCTCTGTTTTTATTCTTAAATTTTTTTTCGTTTTATTTTCAATGAGATTAGAATGTTGTCACATTGATAATGTTGTCATCACATTGAGATTACTTACTTCTTCATATATAATTAGAGCATTTTTTTACTCTCTGATTTGATTGATATACATCTATTGATCATGATGTAAGTTTCTAGTAAATGTGTGCTATGAGCGACATGAACTGATGTACGTATGTACATACGTACGAAGTTCTACGTTGCTATTGGCTGATTGATTGTAAGTTCTAGTCCTCTTTTTGTTTGTTTGTTTTTGCAAATATATAATCTGAAAAAAATTATTATTCAAAATTCATAAAATTGTTTCATTAATGGTGGTGTTTATATTTTTTACTGGTACTAACTACTAATTTTCTATTTGTTGTTTGTTGTTCAATGACGACAGCTTGATTGTTAACCATTTCTATATTGTATACTATCAATTAATAATAATCTTGTGTTTACGAACGATCATCAAGTGTTTAGATTTGATTGATTGTGTTCAAACACAATCAATCACAGCGCAGATATAGAAAGCTCGATTTACTTTTGCCAATTTACGCCGTTTATGGCATAGGCGAGATATTCGTTTGCTAATCAAACGATGGGTGTATTGTGCAGCACTTCGCTTTGTTCTCCTATATGGATGCGAAACATGGCCGTTAAGAGTAGATGTTTGTAGGTTACTAGTATTCGATTATAGATGTTTTAGAAGCATTACTCGTATATCGTGAGGCAACTGAGGTAAGTAATGCTGTCGTTAGGAAACGGATGCTAGGTAAGGATGGCAGATCAATAGATGAAGTGCTGAAACTTCTTCAGTTGAGGTGGTTGGGACATTTGTTGTGTATGCCTAACCACCGACTGCCTCGACGAGCTATGTTTTGTGGTGTAGGAGTAGGTTGGAAGAAATCAAGGGGCGGCCAAACCAAAACATGGCACAAACCTATGAAGTCACTGACAAGTGGACTGTGTCACGTTGGTAGATGTAGAAACTACCTGGTTGGGTTCCGCGAGACGAAAGTGACCAATGGTTAGAGACCTTGAACGACATGGCTCAAAATCGTTTGCAATGGCGCAAGTGCATCCATTCTTTGTATACTCTCAAATCCTAATCTTCTGGATTCGTCAGAACATCTACCTTTGTCTTTCTAACCTTACCTCACTGAGTTATACTTCTTGAATAATATCTTCAAACCCTAGTCTTCTTCATTACCATTAATACCTCTACTATCTTGATCACTATGGGATTTGATTTGACATTTGCGTCTTTGTGCTAATATGGTATGGCAACATGAACTGATGTACATACGTACGAAGTTCTACATTGCAACTGACTGATTGTGTTCATCTTTCAGTTTTACACTGTAGGAGGTATGGTTTTAGTTAGAATATCAAAATTTTCAGGAACTCTTAAATATGAAAGCGATACAACAAAATTGAATACAATGAATGACTTATTTGTTTGAAATAAAAAAATTTGTTCGACTTCAAAAAGCATCATGCGTTTCAGTGCACTTTTAAATGAGATACCAATTTACACAGGATATTGGTATATCAAACAGTAACTTGCACAAAGATGAACTTTTAGTTTAATATAGCAGCCAAGTGGAGAGTGAATTGCAGTGTCATATCTGCAATCCGAATGCGCATATTCTTGTGTAGACTAGTGTTACTACTTGTTGAAGTCAATTAATCACGGCAAGTCAATTCTGTATAACATAACTCAAGTCACAAACATACTTTAGACAACAATTGAAAACAACGAAGCGCTAGTTATAGATAAGATTTTCCGAGTAATAACTAAATATCGATCTAAAAGATGACCGACCCTCCATTGAGTGACAATATGCATGCACTACATACAGGTATGAGGAAACTACCATGTAAGCTAGTTCTAGTCTTTATTATTATCATTGAATATTTACTTTGAGGTGCAATTGATTCTTCTCAACATGAGTACTGGATTTAATTTTTTACAGTAAACAATTTAGTATAATTAGTTATTAGGAAAATTAGTTTATGCATCAAACCGACTTTAACTAAAAAAAACTTCAGTACAGTATGATTGACAGATCTGAAAACTTCCTAGTTAGTCCATTGGTCACTATTGTTGGTTCAATCTCTTAACACAGAGATGATGATTCGTTACACAAACTAATATAGATTTGCATTACGGGGTTGTGAAGATTGTTAAGTTACACATTTTTTTGAAACCATGAATCGATCAATGTTAGACCACCATCAGAAACTTGGAAGCACTGGAAGATGGCCGTTTCGTCTTGGTATGGGACTCCTCAGCAGTGCACATCCACGACTCCTGCACCCCGCAGGGTTCGAACCCAAGACCTTCGGTATTGTGAGCGAACGCCTGACCATCGGACCACTGAGCCGGTATCTAACGGTGTTAATGTCTAACTTGATCAAATTCACGGAGTTGCGCAACCTCATACACAGTCTTCGGTAGTTACTGTCTACACCCGAACAGGTTGAACTTCACAGTGTTCACGTCTTCCCACTAGAACTCGGAGAAGATTCCTCACGAAGCTAGTCACTAGTGAGCACAGGTAATTTGCATTACGGGGTTGTGAAGATTGTTAAGTAGATTTTTTTTAACGAAATCGATAATCATCTAAACAAAAAAATACATCTTCATCTTCATTCGGTATTCTTCAACTAATCAACATTTAGCCTTGAACTAATCCGTTTTTTTTTTAAAAACAAAAAACAAACTATAAAACTGCTAAATTTATCAAATTTGAATTCTATGAAAATCAATATTTCACGACATATACTTCTTACTAAGTAGAGCAAGCAGAAAGATAAAAAGAAAAAGATTATTTTTCCACTCATTTATAAATATGATAATGATCATCACAAATACACAATAGAAAATGACATTCCAATAGTAATAATCATAATCATCATAATAAACAAAGTAACCCCACCCATCATCTTTTTTATTATTATTATGATGATGAAACAAACAAAAGTTGTTTTTTTTTCACTTTAGAAAGAAAAAAAGACAGAGGGAAATAAGATTGTCATCAACAAACAACATAATGAATGCCTAAGTCATAAAAAAATCGATGGCGATGAATGACGAAGAACAAGGAAAGTTTATTTATATGAATGAATGAATGAGAGAGGTGGGGTAAAGCATATATATATATATAATATACAATTAGTTAGTTTATAAAAAATCTATATCCACAACAGGATATTATTTTTTTATTTATTAATTTAGAAAAGCAATACAAATAAAAAGGATTGTGTGTGTGTGTGTGTGTGTGTAGAAATACACTATCAATATAAAGTTATATATATATTTATATAGGATAGTTATTTGTTTACTCAAATATATTTGTTTGTTTGTCCGTCTATTTTATAGTGAGTGAGTGGTAAGGTAAAAACAAACAAGCAAATACTTATTTAGTTTTTGAAATAGAAAGATGTAAAGAAGATGAAAAGAAGAAGAAGAACAGAGAAAAAGAAAAATGCACTTTTAGTGTACAAATCAATTTTTAGAGAAAGAAAACAGACAAAATATAAAAAAAAAAGAAATGTGTAGATTTTTTTTTCTCTCTAGATAACAATAGTGTGTGTGTGTACATTCCGATTTATTTGTTGTCTAAAAACGCATCATCATCATCATCATCGTGATTATCATTGAAAAATGGATGTTATGTGTTATTGCTATTGCAGTTTAATTAACAGTAATAATAGTTAGTACACATGCACGCATGCATACATGCATGGAATAACGATTCAACTCTAATACAGAGTGTACAAACAAAAAAAAAGAACTCAACAATATAAGGAATAAAACAACAATATACTACTAACTAGGAAACCACACACACACAGAGAGAGAGAGATAGAGGGAGAAAGAAATATAAGAAGAAATGGACAAATTTTATAAAAAATCTATGCGCGAACACAAATAAAGCAAAACTTCATAAAATAAATGTGATCCGGCAAGATCAACATTTTATTCAGTCATTTCTAGATCTCGTGTGTGTTCGCTGTCATCTTAATTTTACCATTATTCGTTCGCGTAAAGTATAGCATACATAAATGCTAATTTGAAATGATAATGAATAGGAATAAAAATTTACTTCAATATACAAAGAATTATTTTTTTAAAAAAACGTTAGGTATATATATATATATATATATAAGCATAATAAACATGAAAACAAGAAATACAAATATATAGTAATGTATATATAAATGCATTACTATTGTTGTTGTATACCACACCACATTATATATGTGAATAATGAATCTGTTCACATTTGTTTTTCTGTGTGTTTCGAAGAAGTCAGAGTGAAACACGGACAAAACAGAAAAATATACGCAGTGAACAGATGATAATGATGACGTTATGTAGTGTGTGTCTGTGTGTAGGTGTACGTGTATAGTTAGTTAGTTAGTTACCAGCCGTGAAGATTATTAATTAACAATAATAATAATAATAGTATAATTACAATAAGACAAGTGAATGAGATCGATTTTTCTTTTGTGTGTGCATGTGTGTGTGTCGGTGTGTGTTTGCTCTAATGTTGATTGTTTCTCCTCCTCTGGTTTCTTTTCTTTTCTTAGAATTTATTTTTCTTCAGCTTACTGATGTGCATGGAAGTGTAGGTGAACCCATTTGTCGTAGTACACGATCAAGCCATTTCAATGGTCCATTTAAATGTACTTCTATCCAACATGGTGTACTGGTTATTGTTTGTCTTCTAAATTAAATTATAAAAATAGGGGTTTTTTTAAAAATGGAAATTGTTAAAAAGTAGAGATTAGGCTAGTTTATTTTTGGGATAAACCAATCAGATTTAAAGTATCAACTTTTGTATTTTTGTAATGTGGATGATGACCATTTAGTTATCAATGTGGTGGTCTTTGGTTCTGTGAGCTGGATGTTTTGGTTGTGGAGCTTTCATTGTTTACTTCTGCTGAACAAGATCATCAGCAGAAACTTCTTCAGATAGAAGAAGTGAAGTATTCGAATTTCTTCACGTTTAAACCGTAGCTTGTTCTGTTAATCTCGATCTTGATTGATTGCTTTTGACCTTAAATCTGTCGTTGTTTTCACCTTTGTGTTTTGATTGTATCCTCCTCTTGATCTGTTTCTTGATCCTATGTCAACCAATCACGAAAATCATAGGTGACATAGGATCAACAAACAACAATCAAAATAAAGATGCAAACAACGACAGGTTTAAGGTCAACAACAACCAATCAAGATCGAGGTTAACAGAACAAGCTACAGGTCAAACGTAGAGAAATCCGAACAATTCACTTCTTTGCCTGAAGTTTGTGCTGATGATGTTCAACGGGAGAACAATGAAAACTCCACATCTAGCTCAGAGAACCAAACACCATCACCACTACAATCATCCACCTAAGCTACAAATTTCCTCACACCATCTCAGTTATTAATGTATTGATTGAGAAACCTTATACTTATGCACTCACTTGAAAACAAGAAACCATTATAATTCTCATAACGTGAAGAAGTAAGAACATGACAATGGACTGTAGTCAAACATATTGATTTTTGTACACTCATTTGATTAGTAATTTCATATATGTATGTATATGAAAAATGCCTAGTTGTATGATTCATTACCCTATTGAACATAGTTCATATTGATTTTTTAATATCAAAGAATATCATAATATTGAGAAGTAAAACATCACAATGAAAATGTTATATAGAGTACAAAAAAAAATTATCACACATTTACAAATTCAGCTGCTCCTGTGGATAGCTATATAGGGTGTACTTCTAGGCAACTTACCCAACGAATGAGTGAACATCTCCCAGCATGGTTTAAGAAGGGTCAGTCAAAAATAATACACAGTTCTATCTTAGCACACCTGGTAGATAGTGGTCACATTGTAGATGAATCTAGATATTTTCGGGTGATCTATCGTATACCTTCATCATCATTTCGCGACGGAGTTCCATCCTGTCTCCTACACATTGCAGATGCCATAGGAATACGTACATTCAACCCTAATTTATGTGTTCAGAAGAAATTCGTGACACCCCTATCTCTTCCGTGGCTGTATATAACGTAACTAACGATTGACATTATATTTTATTTTTATTTTTACACATTTGCTTATTACGTAACGGATTTTGGTGTTTCTAATGATTATTTGAAGTCTATTCATCCATGTTTGACCTACAATTGTTAAAACTGAAGTTATCATATTTTATAATTTTCTTACTACTATCAGTACACCTCTGTCTTCCTACTATCCACATGTACTTTTGCCTATTAGAGGTGTAGTGACGTCATCTCCATTTCATTTCATTGTGATTATCACTCAAATTGCCTTGATTGATTGGTTTAACATTTTCATACATAAATATTCATGTATATATTAGAGTAAAGCAGCTTGATGACGATCTAATCGAAAACAACAATTATTGTTCGCTTATATGCACTGAATAATCATCATACTGAATTATTCGAATAAAAGTAATAATAATGTTGAACAAAAAAATTACACATGTAAAGGAACAGTGCAATTTCACTACATCAACGTATCATATCAAATTTATAACTCTCTGATGAGTGGTGGTTCACATTTCTCAAGGTTATTTGAGTATAAATGAATGGTGGTGGGATTCACAATATCAACATTTAAAAATGTAAATTATCATGTCAGAAAAAAAGTATTTTGAAATGTTTTTGACAGTAAAAAATTACAACTGTATCATATCATCATATCTAGAGGAGATTATGGCAGTTTGCTTTTTTGTTGAATGTTGATATTCAGGTTTGTGATTGATAACAATAATGAGTGGTTGAGTGAGTGAGTGATCAGCAATGGTCCTAGATATCATCATAGTAAGAGAAAATATAGAGAACCTTACAAATGACTTGACTGAATGGCCTTATTCAGCCAGAACCTTAGTGGTTGATATAACTTTTGACGTTTGAAGTAATAGTAGGCATTAAGGTTTGAGTAGCAGTGTAAATTTCTGAAATACTTACTTGTATATTCTTCATTCAGCTGATAAATCTTCACAATAAGACGAAATGTGCACTTTGCATTTCATATAACACTAGCCGACGAAACTCGAGCATACAAAGAAGAAACTCTTCACTCTTGTTACGTCACAGTTAATTAAAGTTAGTTAGTGCAATGCTTGAAAATATTTATCACATTGTGATATCTGACAGTGGATTGTATTATCCTTCTAGTCAGTTTTCTAGCAACGATAGGGACTTGACAATACAATCGTCACTAGCAGTGGACTCGAAGAAGCGTATATTAAATCCTATACTTGAGACTGGTCAGTTGAAAGTATACCTGTACCTGAATGTAGATGTTCTCACTAAGAATTGAACACAGTAGCTTTTACTGGGAATCATGATTACACTAACTCACCATTAGAAACCTGTAAAGCACTGAAAGACGGCCGTTTCGTCGAGGTATGGGACTCATCAGTGGTAGTGCGCATCCACGACTCTTGCACCTCGCAGGATTCGCGCACAATACCAAAGGTCCCGGGTTCGAACCCTACAAGGTGCAGGAGTCGTAGATGAGCCCCATACCAGGACGAAATGACCATCCAGTGCTTCCAAGGTTTCGAATAGTGGTGATCTAACACTGATTGATTGATGATTAAAAATGTGTAAAAGAACACTAATCTTCATAACTCTAATTAAGAAAATATATAAGCTTACCTATATTCTGCTCCCCAACCTTTGACAAAACTAATACGTATTGAACACATATGAGTTAGTGAAAAGACTGATTCATAACTGCGTGACATATTATCAGCTAATTGACTAGCAAATGCTGTACTATCGAATAATTTTAAATTACACTCTATAAAGAAAAATGAAAAAGAAAAGAAAATAAACACAGCTAGATTGATTGATTGATTGATTACAAAGGGAAGTGAATAAAAAGTTGTGAAGGAGAACATAGGTGAGGGCAACCGAATTGTATTTAACGAAAATTACAGAGTTACTCAGTAAAATTGGAAAACCATATCGTAAACGGTTAATTTGCAAATCTTCAATCCATTGTCTGACATTTCACTATTCATGCGTTTCATACAAATTAAATTAAATTATCAACTACAATGTTGATGTATATATTAACTAGGGTAATGAATTAGATTACACAAACTGTTCGGTCGACTTATTTATTATTATTTACAGTCACTTTTAGGTTTGATTTGTTGATATAGAATTTTTATTTTATATATTTGTGTTGTGTTGTAGAGTACGCGATCCAGCAAGTCTGTCTGAAGCATAGTTTGTAGTAAAGGCTAGTTACTAATTTTGGATTTAAGACAGGAGAGCATAGGGAGAAGAGTTTGTAAATAGTGGACTGACTTATAAGAGCTCAACTTCCAGTTCACAATCAGTAGTGATGGTTGGGTGTGCTATTAGCCAATGCGGGGATAATAAGTCGTCAAGGAATTAGTAAATATAAGATAGATCAAATTAGAATCAGGATTCTGGCTGATAACTTGACACTTGATATTAGTTATCAGGTTTTAAGCCATAACACATGTTATAAGCTAGTTGAATTGTTTTAACCAAAAAAATAAGACAGACAGACAGATACAATGCAGAACTTCGTACATAAGTACATCAGTTCAGGCTGCCATACCACGTCAGCACAGAGACGTAACTGTCAGTTCAAATCCAACAGTGATAGCGACAGTAGAATTATTATCAGTAATGGAGAAGATTAGGGAGCGAAGATATGATTCGAAAAGTATAATTCAGTGAGATAAATTTAGACAGAGAAAGATAGAGATTATGAGGAATTCAGAAGGTTAGAATTAAAAAGCACACAAACAGTGGATGCACCTGCGCCCGCCATTGCAAATGATTCTGAGCCATGTCATTATTCAAGGTCTGTAACCCTTGGTGACTTTCGTCTCGCGGACCCCAACCAGGTAGTTTCTACATCTACCAATATGACTCAGTCCACTTGTCAGTGACTTCATGGATTTGTGCCATGTTTTGGTTATGTACTCTCTCTCTCTCTCATTTACCAGTGTTTTCCTTTTAAAATTTCCATTTTCTTTTAGCTATTCAATAACTGTAACAGTCATTTGACAGTCTCATGTTAACTGATATTAATTCTCAGCTTCTCACTGAAAATTTATTACATTCTATTTATTCTTTTATACAGTCTATTAAATTCGCAACACAACATGGTTCCATAGTTTTCATGCATTTATTTAATCAATACACCCATCATCATCGTTATAAATGTACATAAGTTTATCTACGCTATCATTTCAGTCAGTCAGCCAGTCAGATGCAATGTAGAACTTTGTACGTAAGTACATCAGTTCATGTTGCCATATAACAAAATTAGCACAGAGATGTGATTGTCAATTCAAATCCAATAGATGTAGAGATATTAACAGTAGTCGGAGAGGTCAGGATTAGAAGATATTAATCAAGAAGTAGAATCTATTGAAATAGACTTAAAAAGATAAGGATAAAGTGATGAAGAATTAAAAAGTTTAGGATTTGAGAGAACACAAAGAGTGGATGCACCTACGCCATTGCAAACGATTCTGAGCCATGTCATTCAAGGTCTCTAACCATCGATTATTATCATCTCGCGGACCCCAACCAGGTAGTCGACAATTACCAACATGACTCAGTCCACTTGTCAATGACTTCATGGATTTCTGCCATGTTTTGGTTTGGCCGCCCCTAGCTTTCTTCCAACCTATTCCTACACTACGAAACAAAGCTCGTCGAGGCAGCCGGTGGTTAGGCATACACACAACACATGTCCCAAACACCTCAATTGATGAAGTTTCACTACTTTATCTATTGATCTGCCATTCTTACCTAGTACCCGTTTCCTAATAACAGCGTTGCTCACTCAGAAAAATTTTCGGATTTTCATTAGTATATTATCATCAATGATTTTCAATATTGATTTAAACACCTAAATAATTGGTACAAGCTAGCATCAATAAAAAAAAGTACACACCGTTGCTAAATAGGAAAAATCAGATAGTAAAAAAAGGGGATAGAGAAAGGTGAGTATAGATATGTCAACAAAAAAATCTAATAAGTGAACTGAGAAAAACAAACAACCGAATGAAACAAGGAGTAGTGTCTTGTTAAGAAAACTACAATTGGAAATATAATCCTTTCACAGCCAAGAAAATTCCTGTTACTTTTATGAGAAAATTAAAAGAAAAAGATTAAAACAGGACAGTCAATAGACTCTATTCTGAACCATGTCTAATGATATTTGTAGCCAATGAATTGTTGTACCATCTCTAGGATTCCAACTACGAATTCGTGATGGACCAACAGATGCCAGTCTTGTACAGCTGCTAGCTTTCTTTCATATCGCGATACCATATCATCATACCCTGACCACCTTTCCCACTGTTTTTTTCAACCAGTCTCAGCTTTTACAGTGCATAGCCAAGTGACCAAAGTCAGTGTCTCGGGATAGTGATATCAACTGAATTCTCAGGACTGTTCCCGAACGAACATTAGCAAACCTTTGAATTATCAACGTAGTGCTATCACAGAATGTTACTAATCCTTCACAGAAAACGATGATCAAATAGACAGAGAGTCGCTCACCATCCTCAACTCTACTTTGACATGGGTGAACGAATGTGCATATTGTAACTATAACAATAGTTGTTTTTTAAGTTATATCAAACCAAAAAAGTCGACTGGAAATCAGTTAAACTGAAAGTTACAACCTAAAGTTTGTGTAAGAAGTCGTTCTACTGACTAATACTATAGTGTAATAGCAATAAGATGTTCTCATCAGATAACAAACAAGTATAGCGACGCCGCCTTCATACAACAGCAGGAAAGGGTACGAAACGATCAAATCCAAAGAATATCACACCTCACCTTACCCCACGGATGTTCGTCCCCGATGGTAAAGGTTTTCGAAGTTTCTCATAAAAAGACAATGTATAACAAACTTTTCCCTCCGCAATGTTTTCTCCACGCATCATCAACGTTAACGGTTTAAGTTCCTTATCTCAAATGATAACACAGAAAATCTGCGCTATTCGAGGTGGATAAGACATGTATTACGCATGTCCACGAACACCACCTGCCTTGATAACCAATAATGGATGATGTAGAAGTAGGTTTGAAAAGTGCTAGGGACACCCAAAACAAGATATAACATCAGTCCATCAAGTCAATGAATATCGAACTGAATCATGTAGGTAGGTGTAGACTACTACTACTACTACTCAGTTGGGATCGGCATGATTAGAAACTGTGAGTGATACAACTTAAAAATTGTTCACAATGACACAGATACACTTACTTTAACATCTTTCTTTTCGATTTTAAGTTTCCAGATCACCTACCTTATCAACAATGTTTCTTTTCCAGTAGTTCACATATATCTTATTGAACCATATCTTCTGTTTGTCTAACCTTTTTCTAATATACCACTAACACTATGAGTGCTTTAACTATAAATATGATTACATTTACATATGGTTTGGTAACTTGAATTGATTCACACATGAGTTATGTTTTTAACGTTATGTACAACTATTTGATAGACGACTATAACCAAAAACTAACTAATTTAGAAAAGAATCTTCCGTTTTTCTTTTCGGAACATCACTCATACTGTTTACATGGCCTTATATAATATAAACAATAAAAATAGTTTATTTGATAGAGGCAACTAATCTTAAATAATCAAAATTTAAAAAAGTGGGCTTCAATCAAGGTGTAATATGGTTAGAAACAACATTTATGAAGTTAGATGGTTAATTTAAAACGTACCGTTAGAACTTAAAACATAATAATACCGATTCATCATCATTCATCTGATGCAGATGACATTATGAATGCAATTTGGTTAGAATCGATGCGAAAAACTATCGTATAGAATATTTCTGTGATGTTGCCAATTGTATTCAAGATGTAAATTAATAAGAATGAATTGATGTTTATTTAGCCTATTCAAAGTGAACACCCAAGTAAATCATGTTATTCTTGATCAGTCTACACTCGTGTACAATGTTGGGGAGGTTAGATCCTCAGAACTCATTTGGTAAAGGTCTTAATTTTTAGTAATTTTATTCGGAAAGACGCTTAGTCAAACTTTAGCTTACATTTTTTACTCGGGAAATCATTGACTGTCATTGGTTGATAGATTATATTAGTATGCTATTTCGTGGCTCGTCTAAGGGCTCGATTTATGCGCTTATCAACCTCGTATTTTCTGGATGCCTGTAGAATACATTCTCTATGCCTCATCAAGAATTCTTCCCTGTAGTTAGCGGAGCCTTCGACAATCGGATTAGAATAGCCTATCGTGTCACTGGATCGTTGATCGTCATTCCGTTTACCAAGTATGGTGAACTCGTAATCGGATTCAAGCATATCATTCAATATACATATAACAGTTCAAAAATGTATATTGTATGTATATAATGCAGAGTCTTCTGACTACCATAAGCAACAATGCAAGCATGTTCGCGATGCGGTTCTCATCCTCGAAATGCAAAATGTTGTTTCAAGATTGGGTTGCATCGACACCTGAACTAGTGATAGGGAGTGAAGTAGTCAAGCGTGTTGACCGCTTCACTTACCTGGGTATTCTCATCAGTGCTGATGGCCTGGTGACTGACGAAATCTCAGCACGGACACAGAAGGCTCGATTGGCTTTTACTTATGGCGAAGGAGAGATATCCGTTTGCTGACTGAAGGACGAGTGTACTGTGCAGTGGTTCGCTCAGTCTTACTTTATGGCTGTGAAACATGGCCAGTCAGAGTAGAAGATATTCGTAGGTTACTGGATTTCGATCATAGGTGTCTCCAAAGCATTGCTCGTATATCCTGGGACACCCGGGTGAGCAACGCTGTTATTAGGAAACGGGTGCTTGGTAAGAATGGCAGATCAATAGATGAACTAATGAAACTTTATCAGTTGAGGTGGTTGGGACACGTGTTACGACTGCCTAACCACCGACTGCCTCAACGAGCATTGTTTTGTGATGTACGAGTAGGTTGGAAGAAATCTAGTGGTGGCCAAACCAAAACATGGCAGAAATTCATGAAGTCATTGACAAGTGGATTTAGCCATGTCGGTAGTTATCGACTACCTGGTTGGAGTCCGCGAGATGATAATAATCGATGGTTAGATACCCTGAATGACATAGCTCAAAATCGTTCGCAGTGGCGCAGGTGCATTTATTCTATGTGTTCTCTCAAATCCTAATCTTCTGGATTCTTCAACCCCTCTAGTTTTGACTTTCTAAACTTTTATCACTGAATCACATTTCTTGAATAATATCTTCTAATCCTAACCTCTCCGATTACTTCTAATACCTTTACTACCTCTACTACTATCGGATTGAATTGACAATTACATCTGTGTGCTGATGTGGTATGGCAACATGAACTGATGTACTTACGTACGAAGTTGTACGTTGCATCTGACTGACTGAACAGTTAAAAAATAACATATACATATCATTGTTTTATAAGATTATCTCCTTTCAACACCTACAAGTGTGCCATAAAATAGATTCGAGATTGTAAAAACAATCAAGTCATTTATAATCAAATACAAAATACAGAGAGAAAAAATTAACCTGTACACACACTGATAGATCAGTTCGCTGTACAAGAAATATTGTAATTTCAAAAAAATAAAGGGGAAAAACCGATTGTGAGTCCTGAAAACTTGCAAAACTATGCAGAAAAATAAATATTAATACACACACAATTGTGTTTCATGACATTTTTAGCGACGGCGCGGTGGGGAGCGGGGAGGAATTTGTACTTAAACTCTTATGATACATATATTGGTCAATAAGTGGCACGAAAATGTCAAGGTCACCACTCTCTTAATATCACGCACATAATTAACAGTAACTTGTGTGTCAGTTTATCGTTCCAACAATAAGAACGATAGCAGTAATGATAATAATAATATTTACGGGAGCGAAAGCCGAAAAGAATACGCATATATATATATATATATATATATATATATATATATATATTCAACATTAATTTTGAAAGAGATCAATGCGCTGACAACAACAACAAAAAGACAAAGCACATTTTAAAAAGAAAAAAAGAGAACCGATTGATAATGGAATGAGGTTTGATAAAAATAAAAAAAATAATTAACAATTTTACAATAAACTAACTAACTAACTAACTTGGTGGTACTTTGACAACAGTTGCTGGATGCCAACTGTAGAAACAATTACAACTTGGTGATTGAACAAATACTGCAGCATCACTTAAACATTCAAGATATACTTCACTGCCAATATGATGCAATCGTATTCCACGACCTAAAACCGCCCCCCAAAAAAAAAAACAAACATACAGTCAAAATAGTTTTTTTATTCATCAATGAAATGAAATACAATGGACTATAAGAAATTAGGGATTCAACTGCAAA